GGGTTTTTAATTATATGCTGTGGGTTTATAATTATATGCTGTGGGTCTATAATTATATACTGTGGTTCTTATATTATATGCTGTGGTTCCATAATTATATGCTGTGGGTCTATTATTATATGCTGTGGATCCATTATTATATGCTGTGGGTCTATTATTATATGCTGTGGGTCCATTATTATATGCTGTGGTTTTATAATTATATGCTGTGGTTTTATAATTATATGCTGTGGGTTTTTAATTATATGCTATGGGTCTATAATTATATCCTGTGGTTCTTATATTATATGCTGTGGTTCCATAATTATATGCTGTGGGTCTATTATTATATGCTGTGGATCCATTATTATATGCTGTGGGTCTATTATTATATGCTGTGGGTCTATTATTATATGCTGTGGGTCCATTATTATATGCTGTGGTTTTATAATTATATGCTGTGGGTTTATAATTATATGCTGTGGGTTTATAATTATATGCTGTGGGTCTATAATTATATGCTGTGGATCTATTATTATATGCTGTGGTTTCGTTATTATATGCTGTGGGTTCACAATTATATTCTGTGGTTGTATTGTTACATATTCTGTCGGTTTATTAGAAACTAGCTATTCAAATCCGGACTTCTAGTTTTTTTTAGTTTACTTGCTCAAAAAATGGCGGCTAACCGTAATAGGAATGAGAGAGTGGAGTGCTGAATAGGAAGGCATTACCTGATTGGTTTAAATGAGGAACATGAATGTAATGTTTTTTTTATTTTTTTAAAAGTAAAAATATTAATGTTTGAAATAAATGAGGGAATGTATGAATATTACAGAAATATAGAAATACCAGGGAGATTGTAGGAGCGGGGGTTGATTTTTTTATGGAATGTAGGAATATAACAGAAATGTAGAAATACCAGGGGAGATTGTAGGAGTGGGGTTGATTTTTTTTATGGAATGTAGGAATATAACAGAAATATAGAAATACCAGTTGAGATTGTAGGAGTAGGGGTTGATTTTTTTTGGGGGGGGGGGGGGGGGGGTGGGCAGAGTGTTATTTACTGCCGGTACCTATAAGTTAATTTTTATCAACTGCAATTTTGACCTATAAACGCCATGGACCCTATATTTTGGGGGGATTTTTTTTATAAGCGCTTGGATTAAAGTTTCAAACGATGCCATACACTACAAATATTTATCATATTAAGAGCAATCTGATGCACATTGTTAACTTACTTACTTCCTCGGACATTATCAAATGCATCACGCTATACTATTCATTGGCGTCGGAAGGAAATTGAAAGGGGGGGGGGGCTAAGTGATAAAAAAAACATTCCATCATAAAAACCTGACAAGCCAAAAAAAAAAAAGGAAAATGGCCTAATCACGAAAATTCTATTTCTTGTCGTGGGGGGTAGGTTCGACGAACTTCTTTAGTACCTAATTTTTTTCTAAACACCACCAGTTTCCCCATAAGCTATAATGCGACGTATCTGTGGAAAGTGGGAGGGGGGCTAAACCTAAGAAACAATGTTCAATGTCTAGACTAAGTATATGTTTGGAAAAAAAGTTGGGGGGCTAAACCCCCCTAGCCCCCCCCCCCCCCCCCCGGTTCCGACGCCTATATATGTTAATATCTACATTCTTCTCACTACCCCCCCCCCCCTTTAAACAAAGGACATAACTCCTGTCAAATCTCAATATACCAAAAACAAATCTTTTTTCTTTTTTTTTTTATATATACATGTATATTTCCTCTCGGTGTGTCGTCAAATAAAGAGCAAAATATCATTCTTCTTGACCTTAAATTCACTTAACATTTTAACAATTAGGATCTCTATAAGGAAAAGAGTACCAATTATTTTCCCACAGAACTCTATACAAACCTTTTTTCCTCTCACTACTATACTAATTTAATTTCAAACAATTCCTTGGAATCGTTTGAAACTTTATTCCAGGCCTTATCCCCCCCCCAAAAAAAATATAGGGTCCCATGGCATTTATAGGTCAAAACTGCAGTTGTTTAAAATTAAAAATTAACTTATAGTAACCGCCAGTAAATAACACTCTGCCAAAAAAAAAAAATCAACCTCCGCTCCAATAGTTCTATATTTCTGTAATATTCATACATTCACTCATTTATTTCAAACATTAATATTTTTACTTAAAAAAACATTACATACATGTTCCTCAATTAAACCAATCAGGTAATGCCTTCCTATTCAGCACTCCACTCTCTCATTCCTATTACGGTTAGGCCTGGTGCAGTTGCCGCCATTTTTTGCGCAAGTAAACTAAAAAAAACCAGAAGTCCAGATTCGAATAGCTAGTTTCTAATAAACCGACAGAATATGAAACAATACACCCACAGCATATAATTATGAACCCACAGCATATAATAATGAAACCACAGCATATAATAAAAGAACCACAGCATATAATTATGAACCCACAGCATATAATTATGAACCCACATAATTATGAACCCACAGCATATAATAATGAAACCACAGCATATAATAATGGACCCACAGCATATAATTATAGACCCACAGCATATAATTATAACCCACAGCATATAATTATAAAACCACAGCATATAATAATAGATCCACAGCATATAATTACAAAACCACAGCATATAATTATAGACCCACAGCATATAATAATAGATCCACAGCATATAATTATATACCCACAGCATATAATAAAAGAACCACAGCATATAATTACAAATTCACAGCATATAATATAAGAAGCACAGCATATAATATAATCATCTAACATAAGCAGCCAAGGCGTTCCATACATATGCATCAAAACAGTATTTCAAATCTATTTATGTTACAGACAAATTCAGATTGTGCATGTTAATGTTAACTTTATATGTATTGTTAAAATTCAGATATTTTACTGGTGGATTTCAATTGAGAAAAGATTAGCAAAAAATGATGTTAGATATTTCTTTCAAAAACATAGAAGGCACACTTGGATGTTTATATTCAATATTTTCTTCAAAACGTACAGCATTTTACAAAAACAGAGGAAAGTTAATATGCTGGCATTTTATTGTTTTTATTTGATGAATAAACTGTTAAAAACATGCATTTGCAATGTGCTGATAGTACTGTATTACACAGTACAAACATTTATAAATTTTTCCTGGAAAATCTCTCTTGATGTCTCTTTGTATTATATTCAAGAAGTGCTGATAAGATTTGACACCTTTAATTCACAAAAAGAAATATAGTATATCATGGGCAAGTGTAAGAATGAAATGATGATAAATCTGTATACCATCATTTCAGTATGTGCAACTTCTGCAAAGAAATGAACGAAAACTGCAAATAATATGAATTTTTCTAAGTCCAAGGGGCATAAATCACGCATTCTCAATTTATAGTCTCAATTCGCTTTAAATAATGTACCGCGTTTTAAGTAATATAATATTTCAAATAAATTTTATTTTCTGCCAGTCATATGAACCATTGTTGGTTGTTGATTAAAATACAACAATTGTTTGTTGCAGCTTGAATGATTGTCTTAGGAGAAAATCACATTTTATAGCAGAAATCGATATTTACGTTACTGTCGCCGATCATCGTGTAGTTTTTATTTTAAACCAAAAAGAAGTTTTAAATCATTTACATATCTTTTTCTTAGTAAAATTGTCCTACATTTGAATTATATTTTCTGAATATCACACCCTTCACACATATGCGTGTCACAAATTTTCAAAAAAATTAATATATCTATCAAATTTTGATGTCACCGCAAAATTATTACTTTTCTATTTGGAAATTCAAAAGGACTGGAAGGATTGACAAACTGACTCAGTAGGACCAAGTTGTAACTTTTTAACATCATGAACACCCTTTCTATTGCATGGAATGGTAAAAAGGACAATGTTTATCTGTATTTATGAACAATAGCCCTCCTTTTCTTATAAGTCCAATGGTTAAAAAATTCAACGATATTTACGTGTTAGTATTTATTCACAAATTAAGTAAGAGAACTACACTGTTCCCTATGGGTCAAATTGCCTTACACTCAAGCACTAGAATATGCCTTTAATTAACAGTGGAATAATTGAACAATGCCATTAAAAGTTACGATAAATCTCAGGAAGATATTTACGTTACCGATATTCACGTTACCATGTTTTAAAGTAAATAAGTATTAATTTCTAAAGCTGTTTGAACAGATTTGCGAGTGAATCTTTATGATGTTAATACTAAGAACATGAAGAAATATACACTGTTTCTTTTAAATATGTCATTTTTTCTGTAACAAGAGTGCAGAAATGCAAATGGAAGTGCACATGCAAAGTTGAACATTTTTACTCAATATCTTGTGCATCCATGTGATTTGAAAATTGAATTGACATAATATTATTCACAAGTAGAATTGTGGTTTAATGATTGAATCTTTCCATTTTGAGCAATTGGGTTAATATTGCATAGTTTCAAGTGTAATACACGTTATCATTCGGAACGTAAATCTGAAACAAAACTTTCTTCAAGTCTGTATTTTGCTGTTTGTTTGAACTGATAGTGTACCGTCAACGTAAAAAAAATTGGTTATATACACCTAAATTGTATACCAAGCTAAACATTTTGAAGAAAAAAAATATCATTTTTGTAGGAAATTTAATTCCAGAAAATAGACGCTGTGTTGCATGTAGTGAGGAGGAGGAGGGGGGGGTGGTGTTCTACATCAGGTAATAAAAGAAAGACGGCTGTGGGTGTTGGGTGTCAAGAAACTGGTTGAAATTGAATCCATTTCCATTTTTGTTGCTTTGCAAGAAATATGGACCAAACCAGACACCTGTTCAACAGAGCGTTTCTATTGGAGGTACAATGTATAAGGAATTTTTGCGAGCGTTGTTCACTCTGTTGAACAAGCCTCAGGATTTCCCATGATGGGCCCTAAATAGCTAGTTAGGTACTCTAAAAAGCGAACTGGCCATCTATAATATCAGAGTTGCCTTACCAACACCAAATTTTAACAACAGCAAAAAACAATCTGATTTTATTACATATACATGTACATTTAATGTGATTTATTATAAACGGTCTTGTTACATAATCTTGGATTCATTTTGTAAGTAAATACAAAATCACTATAATATGGTAAATATATATTTCTGCATTATATACGCTGACATTTTATGCCAAGAGATTGTCAACATGAAAACTGTTGGCATTTTAAAGTCATTCACATTATAAAACAAACATGAGAACGGTATAAAAATAATGTTTTTAACATTAAACGGTATGTATCAAAATAGAAATTGAAACCTAATGCATTCATATTGATGCAATGATAAGAAATGAAAAAAACTTTTTAAAAAACACAATTTAAAAAACATATACAGAAAATTAAATTGTGAGCAATTGATGCTCTGTTACAACCTTTATAGATAAACAGAATACTTTGCCACACAGAATGACTGAAAGAATGTTCCTTTAGTTTTATTAAAAAAAATTTGTAACAGCACCAAAAAATAGCTTAAATTTGGTTGCTTTTAAGGGAAGGGGGTGTTACATCAATAAGACCGAAAAAGATTGAACAGCTTTAGATTTGAAATATTATTGTACTAGTTTAATGTTCTTCACATTTTTGTTCTGTATATATTGTATATTTATAATCATAACAAAAATATTGCAATTTCAGATAATCTTTTCTTTTTTGCTAATTACAATGTTCCATGTACAGTGTTAGAATGTCACAAACACTTCACATTATTACATTTTCATATTAAATGAGTATTTAGTAAAATATGTAAATGATTTAAGAAATAGAGAGTATTTGATTACATGCTTTATGTTCAAGAGGATTCATTTGATACATTAACAAAACATTGTTGGTGAATACATACTAATGAGTTAAACACAATTACATGCACTCAATGGCTATTTGAAGCCAAATTTAAGTTCATTAAATGATATGAATACTGCTTAAATATATCCTCATAAAATATTGTAGTAGTCAATACAGAGCTTTTGTTGATATTCAGGACTTGATGTATCAACCATTTAATCTCTTCCCCATTCCCTGTTTCGAAGCTCAACTCTGCGGATTTTCCCACTCACTGTTTTAGGTAGCTCGTCCACAAAGTCAATCTGAAATTTTGTAAAAATGGTTCATACAGGATTTTTTTTTCTTCTGATTAATTAGGGTAACAGACCACACAAAAACTTATTAAACCATGTTTTCAACAAACACACATCGAATGATTGTTTTTTAACTAAAGAAAATCCAAAAAGAAAACTGAATAAATGTCTTGAAAGACTTCAGCTGTCACAGTACTGTTTTGTGCTTGCAGTAAAACACAATTTCAATGAACATTCTAAGTAAGAATTCATGCTTAAACCTTTTTGGAATACACTTTGAAGCCTCGCTCAAGAAGCCATTTGCATTAAAGGGGGGTCAGCTGACTTTTTAGAATTTTAAAAATCGGAATACTTACTTGAAGTCTTACTTGACAGACTGTTTTGAGATACCTGTATTAAAGTCAATAATTAGACCTTTTTAGCTCATCTGAGCCGAAGGCTCAAGTGAGCTTTTCTGATCAAAATTTGTCCGTCGTCTGTCGTCGTTGGCGTTGTCGTCGTTGTTGTCGTAAACTTTTCACATTTTCATCTTCTTCTCAAGAACCACTGGGCCAATTTCAACCAAACTTGCCACAAAGTATCCTTAGGTAAAGGGAATTCAAGTTTGTACAAATGAAGGACCACGTCCCTTTCCAAGGGGAGATAATTATGAATTAGAGAAAAATTAATAGCGTTTTTAAAAAATCTTCTCAAGAACCACTGGGCCAGGAAAAATGAAACTCATGTGGAGTCATCCTCAGGTAGTGTAGATCCAAGTTTGTTCAAATCATGACCCATGGGGGTAGGGTGGGGCCAAAACGGCCGATAAAAGTTTTACATAGGAATATATAGGAAAAATCTTTTAAAATCTTCTTTTCAAGAACCACTGGACCAGGAAAAATGAAACTCGTGTGGAATCATCCTCAGGTAGTGTAGATTCAAGTTTGTTCAAATCATGACCCCCGGGGGTAGGGTGGGGCCAAAATGGCCGATCAAAGTTTTACATAGGAATATATAGGAAAAATCTTTAAAAATCTTCTTCTCAAGAACCACTGGGCCAGGAAAGATGAAACTCAAGTGGAATCATCCTCAGGTAGTGTAAATTCAAGTTTGTTCAAATCATGACCCCCGGGGCAAGGGTGGGGCCAAAATGGCCGACCCTAGTTTTACATAGGAATATATAGGAAAAATCTTTAAAAATCTTCTTCTCAAGAACCACTGGGCCAGGAAAGATGAAACTCATGTGGAATCATCCTCAGGTAGTGTAGATTCAAGTTTGTTCAAATCATGACCCCTAGTTTTACATAGGAATATATAGGAAAAATCTTTAAAAATCTTCTTCTCCAGAACCACTGGGCCAGGAAAGATGAAACTCATGTGGAATCATCCTCAGGTAGTGTAGATTCAAGTTTGTTCAAATCATGACCCCTAGTTTTACATAGGAATATATAGGAAAAATCTTTAAAAATCTTCTTCTCCAGAACCACTGGGCCAGGAAAGATGAAACTCAAGTGGAATCATCCTCAGGTAGTGTAGAAAGTTTGTTCAAATCAAGTGGAATATATAGGAAAAATCTTTAAAAATCTTCTTCTCCAGAACCACTGGGCCAGGAAAGATGAAACTCAAATGGAATCATCCTCAGGTAGTGTAGATTCAAGTTTGTTCAAATCATGACCCCCGGGGGTAGGGTGGGGCCAAAATGGCCGATCAAAGTTTTACATAGGAATATATAGGAAAAATCTTTTAAAATCTTCTTCTCAAGAACCACTAGGCCAGGAAAGATGAAATCCATGTGGAATCATCCTCAGGTAGTGTAGATTCAAGTTTGTTCAAATCATGACCCCCGGGGCAAGGGTGGGGCAAAAATGGCCGACCCAAGTTTTACATAGGGCTATATAGGGAAACCTTTTAAAATCTTCTTTTCAAGTACTTCAAAGCTATGATTAGTGATATTTATATGGAATCATCCTCAGGTAGTGTAGATTCTAATTTGTTCAAATGATGAATGCCTGGAGGGGGGGGGGGGATAAATTCAAGCCCGATGTGCTCAGGTGAGCGCTGTGGCCCCTGGGCCTCTTGTTGGGTATGTATTTGGGGCTTGACTTACCTTTCTCGGGTACTTGTATGGGGCTGTGATTGATTTAACTTACCTTCCTTGGGTACTTGTATGGGGCTGTGATTGATTTGACATGTTCCTGCAGTTCCTTTCTCAGTTCACTCTCATCTCTTGATTTGTAATGTTCAGTTCTTATCACAAAGGCTTTCACAACCTAAGAAAAATGGAATTTTTTTTAATTAGCACATAAGCAATTGCATTAAATATCTTTATTTCATTCTACACAGTTACATATCATTATTGTTGTCCAGATTTTAAATTCTAGCCAGGTCAGAGAAATGACCTGAGGAAGATACATGATGATTGTTTCAATGTTTGGATTACCTCCCCTCTGGTTGGATCGGGACTACTGACAACAGCTGATTCCAAGACAGCTGGGTGTTCAATCAGAGCACTCTCGACTTCAAACGGACCAATCCTGTAACTAGAAAAATCAACACCGACTCAATACACAGATTTATACATATATCTGACATCTGATATAGATATAACCAGCTTCAGTTGACATAAAGCATAGCTGAACATTGATGTAGGCTTTATTTTAACAAAAGAAATGTGATCAGGTGAAAACAAAGCTTTGTATTAAATCAAAATTGAGCTCCTCTAAGTTTTATAGCTCTGGAGGCTGATCTTAAAATTACACGGAAGAGGAATATTTCGCTTTAAAATTTGTCAGTACATACAAAATGTTACATGAATTTCAAATACAAATGTACTCGTAATTCAGTCATTAAGTTTCACATTTACAAAGAAATATTTGAATGTAAACATGAATTTTGTGCCTACAATGTCATTAATTACCCAGATGTTAGAATGATGTCGTCTGCTCTGCCAACAAACCAGAAATAACCTTCATCATCCCTGACGGCCTTGTCCCCCGTCATATAGAACTTACCCCGGAATACAGACATGGTCCTGTTCTCGTCATCCTAATATAAAATTGTAAAATGTATTATCACAATTATCCCATGTTTGAGTTTCTCTAAGGTTAGTCTCATAGTAACTGATCACTGATGGAACAATGATTAACTTCATAACTTTGTTCAGTGTAAGAGCCTAATTCATGGCCAAGCTTACATTACCTCAAGGTCAAAAAATATTTCTGTATAAAATTGGAGAAATAAGTGCTGCTGTATTTTTTGTCACATGTCTCTTGACTCAGAGCTTGTAAAAGTACATGTAATGTATATAAAAAAAGTGAACAGAATATAGATAATGAATCACAATAATTGAATGTTCGGAGTATGTTGTAAATTGTAATGTGTATTTAAGAAATTGCAAAGCCTGATAAACAGTTTTAACACATGAAAGTTAGAAATGACTGATCATTACTACAGGTAAACAGTACATTCATGTTTAATTTTTAAGTTACATGTATCACTAAAATCCCTTCACATTAAACAAATGAATTCAAGAGGATAAGTACTACTGAGACAAAGTAAAATGGTTTACCACGTATCTTGTGAAGAGACCTACAGGTCTATGAGGTTTTACTCGCAGTCCAATGTTACCTTCCACATTGTTTGGCAGAATCTTGCCTTCATCATCAACAATCTGCAAAAGCATAATTAATTTCTACTTTATTAGAATACAATGCTAGCTTATAGACAGTATATTTAATGCATTCTGTATAAAGGATACATGTATATGATAATTGTACCTGTACTTACCTCTAGATCTATCCCAGGTGCAGGCTTCCCCATTGACCCAGGTTTAATTTTCATACAAGGATATGTGCCACATAGGAATACCTGCAAAAACCCAAAGTCTCTGACAAGACTGAAACTCTGCTTGTGTGTACTTGTTGTCTCTTAGTTAAGTGAGCTTCTGTATCAATTATTGTTTAAATTGGAGAAAAACTGTAGGAGGAGTAGCTTTTTCTAGAGTTCTGAAGAAATTTCTATTTTTAATAACCATGGCATCAATACCTGTCAAGATAAAAAAAACCAATAAAAAAGACTTACATATCCGAGTATAGTGTACCACATTTTATTGAAAAGGACCAGAACTGTAACAGAAGTATATTTTGACAAAAATTTCCAATAAATTTTTATTTCTATAAGTAACCATGGCAACAATGCTTGTCAAACTAAAAATAATAATAATTCATGTATCTATCTTTAAGTACTCTGTATTTGTGTACCATTAGTTTTATTGAATTGCACCATCAATCTATAGGAGGAACAGCATTTTGAAAGAAATGTCTATTTTTACTAATCATAGCAACACTGTAAGATCAAAATCCAATGCAAAGAATTGTGTATCTTAACAAAGTGTACTTGCTTACTAAATATAAATGAAGTTGGAACAAACAATAGAAAGAATTACAAACATTGTGATTATTTGCCTTTCTACAGTACCCCAATTTAACACAGCTGTTACTGTAAACATATTACATTAGGCTGTGTATTCATTTTAGCATCTTTGGCAGTACGAAACTTCCACTTATTCAAGTACTACGCTCATTTCCTACACATATACTCATAAATAAGAACATGACAGAATGTGCTAAATCAAATCTATGCTAATCTGTTCAAGATTCAATTTCTGCTAAATATCGTACATGCCAAATATAATACATTAGCAGTATAACTAACAAACTTTTTGTTTAATTAAATTAAGCTATTTACAAGTACATTAATTTTATTGACTATGTTAAAATTTATCTTTAGGCCATTTGTTTGACACATGGCATGTGGTCAGACTTACTGTTTACTATTTTAATTCCTTTGTTAGTAGAAGAATTGTGTTACTAGTACCTACTGTTTCACTTTGTCCATACGCTTCATACACCATCCCTCCTCCTGTCCCCTCCTCCCACTCCTCCAGAAGCTCAGGATTCTACACAAAATACAATGAAAAATTCCAATTCTTCAGTAAGTCTTATCTCAATGTATGTTCTACTAAGGATAAGACTAAATAAATTCAAATTTTAGATGCTATGTTTTTTTAAATTAATTTATCTAATTGGGCAAGAATCAGAAATTTTGAGTTTTTGCATATAATTAAATTATATACATATTCATGTATATAATGTCATATACCAAATCTAATTTATATCAGTCAGTCGCTGTTTTTCTTCAAACCTAAGTACACTGATAACATAAAAATAATTTTACTTTCCCTGAATTTGCTTTGGACTTACAACAGGTTCCCCTGCACTCAGGCACTTGACATTGCGGAGGTGAGTGTATCTGGACAAGTCCTCTTTCACAATCAGCCTCAGGGCAGTGGGAGGGACACAGAAACAGCTGATGGTCCGATTTCTGTCCAAAATCTAATTAAAAATAATTTTCTCTCAAGATACTGGTAGGTTTTGTTATATAGCATACTACCATTTTACTTAAATGAAACATTAGTTAGTCTACATAATAAAACCATTTACGGATCACTTAATCTCTCTGACAGGTCATTTTTATAAGTTTGATTGGAAAGAAAAGATTTTCACACATTTTGACATTGTTATATTTTAACTCATACAGTATCCTTCTTCAAAGGACAGATCTTAATATTACAGTACAAAGACAATCTCACAGGATTATCAGAGTTCCTGTGAATAAAAAGTGATTTATTTTATAGTACCAAAAAATTGATAGAAATATACCTCTAAAAATGCCTTTGCATCAAATTTGTTAGTCTGATGGGCAAACACACATGCTCCTCTAAGCCATGTTGCAAACAGGCTGCTATAGCCAGCCTTAGCCCATCCAGTGTCTGATATGTTCCAAACAACATCATCATGGGAAACATTCAGCATGTACCTAAAAAACATTATATATATAACTAAAAAAAAAAATTGGTCAATCAAATTTTGTAAATTTTCTACATTCAGTAAAACATGCTTATACATAGCAGATGGACAATTTTGTTTCATTATATGAGAAATTTGTTAAATCCATCAAGTTCGCCCCCATTTTATTTTCGCCCTTTTTGCCCTACCTTCATTTGGGCGAATTTATAAAACGAAGCTAATTCAAAGAATACAGTATAATTTCTTAAACAAACACATTATGACTGGGCAAATTTTAAATGGGGCAAAATTGTTTGCAAGCGTGAAAGAGCGAAAAGAACACAGGGCGAAAATAACCCTGCTTACAGTAAATCGTGTGTGTCTTTAAATCTGATCCAAATGATAAATTGGACTTAAACTGAGAAAAATAAAGAAACATGATTTTTCTTTTAAATACTCTTATCTAGTTAGAAATAGGGATTACCTAGCTGTTATAAAGTGTCCAAACCCAAGACCTCCATGTGTATGTTCAGCCATTTTAGGTGCACCTGTTGTTCCACTGGTGAAATACAGAGTCATTGGTTCATCTGATTTAGATTTCACTGTCTTCAAAGACACAATTACAAGATTGTAAGTTTTCTTTTAATCCTCATATATAGATTTGCCATTGAAATAACATCTATTAAATTATGCAAATTGTGGAATTTGAAATTTTTAATCATGCATTAAAGTCAATTACAAGAGCACTTTAAAGACCCAATTTTTTTACCGTACGGTTTCCTGAGGAGGGGGAGTGGTCCAAGTAACAGTGGTGTTATTAACCTGGAGACCCCCAATACCCAAGATGTCAAAAATCTACATACACGTAGCAGTACACAGGAAGTCTGTGTTTGGTAATCAGGGACAACATTACGTGTTTTGTGTCTAGTTTTTTAGTGAAACTACGTCAAATTAGGGAATAACTATCTTCTAATTTGATAATTGCGACCGTTAATGCTGATTTAACGGTTGCAAACTGAGTTTTACCGGCGATGCGTAAGCATTAACGGTCGCAAATACCAAATTAGAAGATTAGTTATTCCCATTCTAATGCAATCCATGCATTGTGTTGGTTGTTTACGTCTTTTTTTTATGAATTTTGTTACAAGAAATACGTCACGGAGCATTGTGTATTTGCGTTGCTGTATTATGAAGTGACAATGAAAAAGCTTTCACACTCGTTAATGCTCGTTTTACTGCTTCAAACATCAGTGCATTAGCCAATCAAAAAGTGTTTTACAAAACTAATGCATTAGAATAATTATTTTAATATGTCAACTTTATTTTGTAAACTAACCGCATTCGTCGTATTAATGTTTTGAAGGAAAAAAAAATATAAAGATATATCGTTTTATAAAATGTTTTCATTAAATTAAAGAAAATAATCACGCGTAAAAACTACAAAGAAATAACATTTATTTTTTTAATCTTCAATAAAAGAAATCACCATAATAAATAAAGTCTGAATATTGAAATAAAAAAAATAATTAATCCATTTATCCGTCGTGCTTTTGAACATTTACCACATCGGAATATATATATATATATATATATATATATATATATATATATATATATATATATATATATATATATATATATACAGTGAAACTTGTCTAATTGGGATGTTGTATATTCTGTTAGCTTGCCTAATATGGTCTAATTTTTAAGTAAATTCAATTGTTGAAAATGTCTAAATGAATCCTAAAAGTACTCAGACATTAACCTACCCGGTATATACCTGACACATTTAGGATATGTCAATTCAATTTTAAAATATCTCTTGTTTATTTCTTTACTTTAACATACATTATTAAAATAGTTCCAAAATCCAAAAAGTCAAAATAAAACGTGGTTTGTTTTTAAAAATCCAGAAAGAATCACCTGAAAATCATCTGTTGAGTTTGCCATTATTTCCCCATAATTCTCCCATCCTGGTCTGAAATTAATTTAAAATATCAAAATACCAGTAATTTAATATAAAACACAATTAATGTAAAAACCCAATATTTATGGAAATAAGTGAAAATCATAGGAATAAAATGGCAGGAGTGAAAGTTCTAGTGTACAGGATGGAATTATGAGCTATATGATTATATTCACACCAAAATGGACAACACATTTTTTAAAGAAGTTAGTTCACTTTACGCATAAAATGGCCCTGTAGATATACCAATTGATTGATTAACACTTGTTTTTCTATTTGAAGCATTAAAATAAAGTAGAGACTTGGTGCTTTCATATCCTATTATAAGTTTTCTCCTCAACGTCCAGGTCTTGGAGAACTGGCTTTATGAAATGGCAATGTTCTTGAATTTTTAGGTAAACAGGTATAATTGAGTACTTTCAGTGAAGAAAAATAATATGAGCGCACTCTCTAATCTAAAAAATAAAACATGTCCATTAATCCTCAGAAACAGTTCTATCATTTAGTAGTTGCATATTTTAGATCAGAGGTTTCGCTCTATATTAAATATTAAAAATAGCTTTAAAAATTGGCCGTTTTTGTACACTTTTTCAGAATATGAGGAAATTGACGCATTTCGTGACGTCATAATGCATTGACTAGCCAGAAAATGACGTCATTTTTTATAGATACGCAGTCACCGAAGATCTAAGTGATGTTTAATGCATTGTTAGCTAAAACTATGCAGTTTCAGTTTTTCAGAAATTCACAGGGCCAAATAAGGCAAAAGTGAACCTTGTTCTTTGGGTTTATCAAGTCTTTTTACCTATATTTAACCTTTTAACTGTGTGTCCGAATTCAAGATCAATATAAACTGTATGGTCATAACGTGAACTTGTACATGTATATATATTTGTTAGAAAACAAAAATATGTCAAATTGCTTTATTTTATATATACATGTATTTCAGAGATCTGTACAACTATATTATTTTTCATCAAAGAAAATAAAATTCTGACTAATATGCAGCTATTTCAGATTAATGAGGGTTCATCAATCAAAATTAATTACAGGAACCTTACTAGTTAAAAAAATATTACTGCCAAGCTTATACATACATGTATGTACATTTATTTTGTTTAAAAAAAAAACAAAAAAAAATCTCTCTCCTGATTCATGAAATGTTCATGTAACATTCAAGGTCTTTTTCTGACCTTGAGCTCAATGATTTTCAGTGTAATCAGTTTGACATTATGCCAAGTTAGGATCCTCTATATTTTTTTAAACAAGCTATTTATCATCAAGGTCACTAAACAGTGGAGCATCTTCTTGTGACATGATGATATTAAATCTTAAGACAAATAAACTGATACTCTGTTTAAACAGGTTCACTTGTCACCTGGCTTTGTGATTCCATCTACCTGGTAAAATCTATGAATTCTGTATAAATATTAACATATATACATTGTCCTTGAAATTTTGACAATAAGGTTCAGTCAGAATGCTTTTCTCCCTTTTTGAGCATGATGCATCTCCATAACAAATATGAGACAAAAAACTTTAACATGATGTCTGTTATATGATGCACACCAGGTTTTAACCTTACCTTTAGCCATTTTAATCAACAAATGGTAACAGACTATAAGGTGAAATGTTGCTGTAGATATTTTACTTTTTATTGGATAACTGACAGTTTAACCTTGACCTCAGAGCTCTGCCCCTTTGGCCTTTTAAAGCAATAAACTTCTTTTACTGGTCAATAATTATTATGCAGAAAATTCAATACTGGAAAAGTCAAACAGTGCTCTTTCATAAAATGTGCCCCGAACCACTATTACAGAAGCCTGCATATACATGTACTGATACACAAACACTTAATTTTGTTTCAAGGAGGAAAAAAAAGTAGAAAACATAAATCTCATTAGATATTACCAGTTAAATCATTATTAATGGCTAAAAACAAAGCCATACAGCATTTTACAGTACCAAATGATTGAGCAGTTTTGTATACAAGTACATGTACATGTACTGTGCCACTTCATCTTCGAAAGCCAAGGGTTTTTGTCTGCTTCCCTCCCCACAAACTCTTGGAAGATTATGCCACTAAAACTGTGGCTAACACATGTACATTGTTACTTCCGAGGTTTCTTCCTTTCCAAGGAGAAGACTTTTTTCATGTCGCATTATAGCATTATATCATTCACAAAAACAGATGAATAATCATCTATCAATATTTTTTTCTGCTCCATGTTCTTGTACACAAGTACATATGTATACATTATATTCTTCCTTCATATATGCATATATATTTCTTTTGATAAACTTTTAATTACCTCATGCAATTCTTACATCTCTGCATTTATGTACATCTCATCTCCATCTCTTGTTTACAATGGATATCAAACTACAATTTGAAAACTGTTAGTAGATTGGCTGGAATCAAGACTAAAATTGAGTGCTTCCAGAAGATTTACACAAGTCAGCCAGTTTTAGTGATGCAATCTGCCATGGAGAGCAAAACAGACCAAAACCCTTAGTTTGCAAAGAAGGTACCTTTTTGAAAATTTACTTCCATATACTGATTAGTATGCTAAAAATCCCAATATTTTACAAAGTAATGAAGCTGAATACATCTGTTGTCCACTTACGGGGTATCAGATTTGTGCCCTATATAGATCTTGCTCTGGACTCCTGAACAGAGACTGATGACCTGAATAAAACAAAAATCTATTTCCAGAGGCTAAATAATATATCCTAAGTATGTTTAAACAATATCACTTCTTAAATTGCAGACTTGAGAGTAAGCAAAATCTAATACAATTTTTAAAACAATTTCACATTACATGTGTCTTTAATTAGTAAGTTGAACTGTTATATTTCTATATTTAGGAATATAGTAAACAATGTTAAAGTGATTTGGAAGTCCTAGCCTCTTATTCTTAAAGTGTTTTACCCTAAATATATCACAAATACTTGGATATATCATGAGAAGGATTTTCTTGGTAACTTGTAAAGGATTTTCTTGGTTCCATTGTGTTTGGGATAACTAAGTTTGACTGTATATATGCATTTTACAATCAAATGATTCTCTGGTAAAAAAAATATTTTAAAATTTTCATGTTTGTAGACAACCTTCCAAACTCTGCGGTAAAGAATTTTACAAGGGTATACATACTATTCATATACATGTGTGCAAATAAATGATAGTACTATTTAAAGATTCTTTAAATTTGTGGAATAAGACTGACCTCTTCAACATTTTGGACACTGGACTGGTCAGTAATAATACATTTGGCTCCAGATGACTTCATTCTGAGTTCAATATCTTTTGGTCTAAGTTGTGTGGTCCCCGAACTGACTATCAGACCTAATAATCAAACAAACTTCTGTCTGTATATGATACAAGTAAAAAATTAAATTTACTTAATTAAGCAAGTGGAAAATTCATTTTACCAGTAGTGGTGGGGGCTAATATTCATTTTACATTAAATGACCACCTTTAACTTTAAGGCACTGAATCAGAACTCTGCATAACCGTCAAAGTGTTCTTACTTCTAGATATTAACGAACTAACTATACACCCATGCTGTATTCAAAAGAAATCAAATTCTTTTAGGCAAAAGATATTTGTTCTTTTAATTGTTTAATTCAATTAAGAGTTTAAGAGATAGATCTTTTAACCAGGAGGGGGTTGCTTATCTAAGTTGACATCTGTATGTAAAACTGACCTGCTCTGATAGCAGCTATGTATATAAACCACCATTCTGGGATTCTTGGAAGAATGACAATAAGTATATCACCTTTCTTAAGCCCACAGTGATTGGTTAATACATTAGCCAACCTAAAAAACAGATAAAGAAACACTTATTTCAGTCCTTCCATAATAACATGCCGATTCACTTAGATAACCCATAAATAATCAACAACCAAGCAATGAACAGAAATATGCAAAATTTAGATTAAATCTACTAACTGTATTATTATCTACAACAGTGAAATAGGAAAAAAATAATCAATTTATGCTATTTTTCTTATTGTATATAACAATGTATATACTTCATAAACTATTTTACTCTTGTCTTCTCTATAAGGAAATCTTGATTCAAGAGTTGACTGATTGAGCATTAAGTAACATGTCTTTAATTTATACCAAAATATTCAGTGTTTCAGTGTTACCTTTTGCTTTCGTTTGAAATTTGTTGAAAATTGAACTTCATCTCTTGTCCCTCATCATCAATCCACCAGAGGGCTGGAGAAGAGGCACTTTTGGGACTCTGGTAGAAAATTAAGGAAAAAAAAACTTTCAAAAAATTATTTGTGGTACTATATATCATTTTGGAAATTTTATCTTCATTCCCTAAAAAAAATCTAAATTTGTTACTTAATTGAATGCACTTAGTATGATTTCTAATTACCAGGGGGTTTACTCACATTCTCAGAAGCCCAGAAATCAATGACATCTTTTGCAAAATTGAAGTATTGGGGCACAGTAAAGTTTTGCATCTTTCTTCTGTGTTCTTCATAATTATTGAAAGGTTCATTATCTACTAGATATGAGGTTATACATCGCTTCCAGCATCTGGACGTAGAAATTCTCAACACGAGAGATCTTCCGTATGTCTGAAGACAATGATGAGCCATGAAAAAGGGAACAGACCTATATATTAAAAGATAGAAAAGTCTTTACTTGAAATAGGCGTCCTTCCTAGCAACGATCACAATATGCTTTATGATCCTTTAAAATATAGAAGAAAGGGAAAAAAACAAAGTTTTCAAATCTTATAAGGGCAACAGATTAAGCATTATTGACAACAAATATCAAGCTCGGAGGATAATCAACCAATCTCTACTAATTAAAAGTAAAAGTTACTGAAGTAGGGTAGTTTGAAATCTGAAGTCACAATCACAAGTCTAGCAAAAAATTAAGTTGTATGAAAATCTTATGAGTAACTGTGAAAAGTATCTTGCCTTGAATCTCTGTAGTATACTTGAAGTTGAGTAATGTATGAGACAGTTTTTTCCCGTTTAGCAGTAAAGGTTGGTTGATTTTTTTCAATTTTTTTTGGGGGGGGCTATATCATTTTGACAGTTATCATGGTTATCCCTGTTAATTACAGAAAAATGATTGATCTACCATACTGCCATATATGTCCAAATTAAACAAACTCAAAATGCAGGAAAGGTTAAGTTTACGATTTAGTTTGGTCAGCTGTTGTTTCGTTTTTGATTCATTCTTTTCATTTAACGAACACCCCCCCCCCCCAACCGTTCAATTCCATTTCGGGTTTTGTGGTACAGATCACCTATCGATCGCTCATTAATTCTCTAAATCATAAAAATGCAAGCAATTGTTTATGGTACATACATTTACCTAAAAAATAGAAAAATACTTTTCCAAAAGTTTTCCAAAACAGAAAACTGGAAGACTTGCAAGCGCAGTGAAAGACAAAATGAAACCGAACGACTTGCAAAGTTCCGGGGTAAAAAAAAAAGACAGGGGTGTATCTATACAATATGTGGTGATCTGTAATCATAGGGTGAGGAGCAAGAGGTAAAACCTATTTCGATTTCTTGTCTACAAGTAAACAAGAGAGAGACTCAGAGAGAGAGAGAGAGAGAGAGAGAGAGAGAGAGAGAGAGAGAGAGAGAGATACATCAGTGATTTTTTTTTTAAAAAGGCCAACACTTAATGTTATAGTGCAAAACTATAAATTTTGTATTGATTTTCCGTTATATGTTGTTTATTGTCCTGGAAACATGGTAAATTCAAATTATTTGGTGGAGGGGTTACGCAGACACGACAACACCCACAATTTTCCTTTATTATGCCCCTCCATAAAATGGTAGGGGCCAATGGGATCATATACTGTAGTTTTAGCCTTTCGGTCTCAGTTTAGTTTTACATTATGTCGTTGTCCTTTTTCAGAATTTTTTGACCCACGTAGCAACCGGGGGGGGGGGGGGGCTGCCCCCTCCCCACTTTTTTGGCCAATATTACTTTCAGTATAGGAAATGATCATTTAAAGGCTGGTTGCCCCCCCCCCCCCAAACTTTCTTTTATAGAGGGAAATTGTAGTAATATAGATTTTAAAAAATTGCTACTGAAGGAAGCTGGCATTGAAAAAGTTGGCTCCTACCCCACCCCCCCTCACCCTCTCCCACGAAATAGAATTTTGCGACTTTAGGCAACTTTTCCATTTTTTTTTTTTTTTTTTTGGCTTGTCAACTTTTTGAGGTAAGTTAAAAAAAACTATTTCTTTGGCTGCCTCCCCCCCCCCCCCCCCAACTTTCAAAAACGATGCTACTTGGCTGTGACCCATTTTCAAGATCAGAGGGACGTTGAACTTATATACACTGAAAATTTTGAATAAGTCACCTTTTTGATTATAACGAGGTTTTTTTTCATGTATGTTTCTTTATTATAATATTGATGAATTACAAATCAAGTTTCAGAACTTTTTCTTGAAAATTTTACCATAGACTTTGAAATGCCATTTGCATAATTAAATATTTTTTATATTTTTTAATAATAATAATTTTAATCATTTACAGATTTTGTGTGTTGATCTTTTTTAAAAAAGTTATTTATTCAATAAAGAATTAAAATGTATTATATCAATGACAAAATGTGTTGAATGAAAAGCAAACGTATGCTATTGGGGGGGGGGGGGGGGCTCATATTCACGTATGTTGATCAAACTCGCGCATTCTGAAACACAACGTGGAAAGGACGAGAGCTGATATATTGTTATTAATTTTATACCACAGATGTAGACAGGACCCCTTCCCTGATAATTTACCTCGGGTTAAAACATTGAAATATTTCCCCCTTACAATCAGTTCTTTATTTTAAAATGCATGTGTAATCATATTCCGGCATCAAGATTTGAGATTGAACTAGTAAAGAAATCCCCATCTCTTCTTTTTTCATACGTTTCCCGGCCATTTCAACGTAAATAGTATTTGTTATAAATAGCAGGACTTTTTTCTGACACATGCAGTTATGTAATACTTAATGAACAAAAAGCCTTGAAAATAAATGTTGTATCTCGCGATTTATATTGGAAACATAAGTAAAACCCTTGCAGATAAAAAAAAATAATTATTATGTCCCCAAAAATTATTAACATATGGCAAGGATTTGCTATTTTGAAAGCCTTCTCGTCAAGGTCCTGCGTCATTTCAAGCTTATTGTTGCTAGATCATGCAGAATTTCGTGTTGATTTTCTTCGAATTAATCTCTCTGTAAAAATTGCAGGATATTTTAGCATATTCAGATATTTTTCAACTAAAATTAAAATGTTCTTTGGGAAAAAAAATCAGAGAGAGAGAGAGAGGGAGAGAGAATTATTTAGCAAATTATTAATTCAATATATAAGCAATCGTCATAATAAATTATTTATAAACTTATTTTTAAAATTTAAATGTTTTTTTTATCATTATTATCATCATTAATTATATATAGTTTATTTTATTTTTATTTATTTATTTATTTATTTATTTTTTTGCTTATAATAATTATCACCATTATTATTGTTATTTATTTCTCTATTTATTTTTGGGACAAAATGCAAGTACGTATACTGATGTTTTTATCACATTTTTCTGAATTTGTTAAAACAAATTTACTGAAAAGGAAGCAATTTCATTGTTTAATTCTATAACCCAAATTAAAAATTTGTAATGACCAATTAAAAAAAGTTAACTTTTATTAACATTGAATCAAAATTATATTTTTTTTTATCGAATGAATTTTTAAATAATTTGGCAGTAGAAATAATAAATTAAAAAATATGAATATATCAAGTTCTCTCATCGGATTCGGCATCAAGGAATTATCAAAATATCAGCATTATGAATTCCATAAAACGTCTAAATTAATTTACGTATAAATAGGCCTATTAATTTTAACATATTTCTTGTGGGGGAAAAGTTAGCTCCGTTGTCGTGTTCAAGTGTGGTCTGATTATCTAATGAATATTCATAAGGGCTATGTCTATTACAACCCTAAACTTTTACGTTTTGCCTGCACGTGTTATCGTTTGTTTATAATAAACAAACTTTAAATTATTAATCCCTTTTTACATGTACCCATGCTGACGATACAAAATTTAAAAGTTTTCAAACACACTGTGAATATAATCAGCAGTTTCTAGATCACCATAGCATCGCGCCAGGTCATTGGGAGAGGTCGTCTGACGTCACATACTCTATCGTGCGAGGTTTGTGGATAGAAGAGGGATCTAGTGTATTTGGAAAAGTCGAGGAAAAGAGATCTGGTACCAAGATGAATGTTTTATTTCATTCACCGTTAATATTGTTTTTTACGATATTATGCCTTGGACACATTGCATACTCTGATACAGGTAAGAATACTTACAAGAGCAAAATCCACCACGCGGTTTTGCAGAGATGAGGGCTAGCCGGCCGGTGTAATGTTTTGTAGAATATTTCGCGTGTTGTGAATTAAATGTCACCAATTTTGGTGTAATTTTATAAAGAAAGTGTAATTAAATGTTCTATCTAGATTTTTACGAAGTATTATTTAATTATTTTTGTTTCAGCTGGGTCTGAACCACCTCTGGTATGTGAAGAAAACCAATTCAAATGTATGAGACGATGTATTCCGGAGAGCTGGAGATGTGATGGAGACTATGATTGTGTAGACGAAGATGATAAATCAGACGAAGAGAATTGTCGTGAGTATAATGTTTATGAAGATTTATTTCGTTCCTAATTTATCTTGTACATCAGTGCATGTCATTCATTGCAACTCGGACGCCGCACTGCAATGCATGGTTAACAGGTTAAGTCCATTTTCTGACCTGACAAATTATTTTTTTCCCAGTATGTTTAGCTTAATAGCTGTTTTAAATATATCTTTATGACCAAATTTAACTGTATATTGTTAATAATTTAAAAATGCATTGGGAAAGAGGAAGCGAGACTCGCTCATTATCTGACGAGGTTTTAACCAATCGGTGATTCGCTGAGAGCCAAACCCATAACATGGTTACCTGAACGCATAAACAGTGTTTTTCTACACATAAATTTACTAGGTTGTTTGAGAAATAAATAAGGAAATATATCATTTTATAAAATCCTGATGTAACCCTTTGTATATTTATTTTAGAAATTGGAAGTAATAAAAAAAAAATTTAATTTTTATGAAATGTACCCCTGATTTGTACAGAATTTGGGTTAAAAAAATATTTATTTTAATTTATAATAATATAAGTTTAGTAATTCTACTTTTAACTGAAATAAAGAGATGCCTTGAAATTGGTTTTAGCCTCCAAGACATGTCCAGAAGATGAATTTACATGTAGATCTGGTCACTGTGTGCCAATGAGATGGACTTGTGACAATGAAACAGACTGTCTTGATGGATCGGATGAAACGGATATTTGCAGTAAGTCAATATCTTGTATATTCTTTTTATTTATTAATTTACATAATTAAATTTTAATCTATTTATCAGGATGTTTTGTCTCCCTAGATTTTGACATTGAAAGATGGGAAATATGCATTATATTGATAAACCATGTTTTTATTTTCAGAGAACAAAACTTGTGGTATTGACCAGTTCAGTTGTGGAAATGGAGAGTGTATACCAGCTAGCTGGCGTTGTGATGGTTCTCCAGACTGTTCTAATGGTGAGGATGAGACGTGTGATTCCCCTACCTGTGCTAGTGATGAATTCAGATGTGACAACTCCAAGTGTGTAAACAACAAATGGAAGTGTGATGGAGATGATGACTGCGGTGACAACAGTGATGAAAAACAATGTCGTATGTATTGTTTAATTCAATCCTGGTAAAAATGATAGAATGTGCATAAATTGATACAAGTGAATAATTTCAGGGCTCTCTTTCTTGTGACAGCTGATGTGACTTGTACTGCTGATGAGTTCCCAACGTGAAAAAGGTACCTTTTTGATGGCAAATTTAAGGGTAAAAATTCCCAATTTATGATTGCTTCAAATTTATTACTATAACAAAAAAAGCATATCTTTGACAGTCGTAAAAGCACTGTTAAGATATGAAGGAAAGACGTTCTTGTTATGAACTGGTAGTTTGTTTTATATGCTGGAACCAGTTTAGTATGAAAACGAAAGTCGTCTGTAGTAAAGTAGGTACTTGTTCATTCACAACATGTCGCAGAATGTGAAGATCTATGATGTCAGGGCTCGAAATCAATGGAAAATACTCTTTGAATGAGAATTAGAATAAAAAATTGCGAGTTAAAAGCGACCTGTGTTCGCCACCTTTTGTGAGAAAAAAAGGTCTTGTAAAAAATTCAGATTACCAAGACTGAATGAGAAGCACTAGGCCTACAGGTATTTTATTCACTATTTTGCTTTTAGATTCCCTAACAATTAAAAAAAGTAGGTACCATGCTCCTACAGTTTATAAATCCCCATAATCTTATCCATTTTGCAGCGCTACCTGTCTTATACACTGTAATTTACTTCCAAAAACGATCGTTTTTTTAAATCCGAATTTCCTCCACTCCTTTCTTTATGGTAAATACAATCAGATACAATGTAACGTTAGATATTCCATTAAATCATTTACAATCTCTAAAACAACTTGAGTAAGAAAGTTATATAATTTTCCAAAAAATATATCCCCAGTGTATTTAATGATTTAATTTTAAATTTATAAAGATGATTTTTTTTAATTAATCAACTGATTTACTCTGTATCTGTTCAGATTGTCATCTGTAATAAAACGGCCTAAATGATTCCAAGAGGTTAATTATTATTATTTTTTAAAATAAATTATTTAATTCTTATATGATTCACTATAAGGAGAAAAAATGCTAGGAAAAGTTCAAAATTACAATTTGATAGTAAAAATAAATCTGCTGATATTTACTACAGTGGTCAAAAAGTTAAGTTTGACCCCTGCAGTACTGTTGTCAGTGTAGGAAAAATATTTCTACTAAGAGCAAGACGACAATGATGTAAGTTTAAATTATGACTGGTAAAAATTTCCCAATTTTTATAGAAACGTCGCATTTTTCCCAATTTCAATGGCCCCGGCCCCAGTACCAAAAATGGGTGTGAGAGCCCTGAATTTATTTTTCCTTTCTTGTGACAGCTGATGTGACTTGTACTGCTGATGAGTTCCAGTGTTCAGACACGCAGTGTATCGACAAGTTGTGGCAGTGTGATGGCGATGCTGATTGTAACGACCAAAGCGATGAAACAAACTGTACAACCAAAAATGTATCTATTTGTTCAGACGAAACGGAATGGGAGTGCCACACCGGTGAACAGTGCATCCACAAATCCTGGAGATGTGACGGGGACGAAGACTGTTTGGATGGATCTGATGAGGGTCCTGAATCAGGATGTGGTAAGTTTGGTTCTTCAGCACTTGATGCGTGTGTTTGATGTTAAAATTGTACATGTGCAAGCTACACACGTGCATATACTTGTTTTGATGAAAGCAGATTACATGCTATGAGGTTACTACGTATTGAATTTGTGTTCTAGAAGAGCGTTCACAGTTGATCTGCTGTCTGGGAATGTAACCTTAAAAGATTACTACTTATTCAATGGAACTTTGTTTTGGTTTTCTGTATTGACTTGACAAGTGTAACTGGATTTTAAACTGTCGTAAGCGCTGGCCCTCTTTCAGGTTAACTGACCTAAGGCCTATTTGGAAATGCTCCAATTGCGTATATCTAAGCTTTAATGATTAATATTGGCAATGTCATTGAAGTGTTTTGCAAAAAAATGTACCTTACCCTATTTAGAAAATGCATTCAACAATGATGAAATAGAAGACCAAAAACATCTTGTTTGGAAGATCATCAACTTAAAAAAATTTGAAAGATTTTATAGTTAATGCACAAAGAATAAACAACATATAATTTGCATATGGAACAATATACTTAGAATATTTTACCAATTTTTATGCTATGTAATTACCTTAACTTCTAAAACCTAAAACAAATTTCTTTATATATATAATTTTTTTTAATTTAATTTTCAAGTCATGTCTAAAAATTTTAGGTTTGCTAAAAATAAATGAATTAAAAAAAATTATGATATAAAAATGACATTATTTCTCTTTTTTTAAAGGATTAACTACATGCAGACCAGATCAATTTAAATGCAACAACAGTGACTGCATCTACCACACTCTCAAGTGTGATGGCTATGTAGATTGTGTGGATGGATCGGATGAATCTGATTGTCGTAAGTGTATTATTTTATCCACAAATATTGCAAATGAAATGCATAATTTCCCTCACATTCATAATAAAAACAAAAAATATATGAGAAACTTCAACTTTTCAGCTCCACCAGAGAGTCACTGTCCAGCTGACAGATTTGACTGCTACAAAAATGGGTCTTTATGTATTGAAGCCAGCAAGCTCTGTGACAGCAGAAAGGATTGTGAAAACTTTGCTGATGAAGACAACACACTCTGTGAAAGTAAGCATATATTATCTTCAAGCATAATTTGTCATTTAGTTTACTTCTGTCTTAACTAACTTTCATACATCATCTGTTAAAAACTTCCATTTAGTGTTGGTTAAGAATTCATTATGTACATACATTATCACCTTCATATATGTAGAACTGCAATATCTTATTCCATCATTATTTATGTACATGTATGTTTTACACTGCTTATTATATGTTTATACAATATTTATCTAACCCCAATTTGATGTGGGTTTTTTGAAGCTAATTCAAGTACTTCGGCGAGAGAAAAGTTTGGTAGGTTTATATTTCGGAAAATCAGACTTAAACACAAAATCTCCATGGTCATCCTTTGGTGCTTTATTTCTGACTTGTTGTCTTGTAAAATTTTCTTATTTGTTTCCTCTTGTGATTAATTATAAACGCTTGTAGATATAAGTTAGACTTAATGTTGTGTCACCTTGGTTTATTTATTTGGATTCTATTATAATGCCAGATTTATGAAGAATTATTTCCTTGATTTTTTTTAATCTTTGGCTCTAAATGAGAAACAACCATAAAACTTTAGTTTCTGACATTTTGCATGGAATGAAAAAAGTTTCAATACTGTCTGTGATAATTTGTTGTAAATGAAGAATATATACATTTATACTCTGCACAGTTTACTCGAAAAGAAGCACCTAATGGCTGTAACAAATTTCTATATCAATGGCATATGCTTTATTTTTTACTGACATTGGTAATCCACATAAATTATTCAGTACACTAAGGGGCATTTAACGAATCAGAATGAGGTCATGCATTGGATGATGATACATTTATCTCAATAAGCTTACTAGCTGTTGACAGAATGAAAAATGTTTCAAAAATTAGATTTACAGTAGATCGTGTTGCTTATTCTAATAGTGATGCAAACATGAGAAAATCGCATTGTTTGAATTCTGCATTCGAAGTTTCATAACAAATAACCATTGAAACAGAATATCGTATTCAGTGAAATTTTATACAAGTTCTGTGTTAATTGGTGTATTGAGTTTTATGTATTTAACCTATCAACTTTTTGATTTATCTGAATTATTTCAGAGTATTCAAATTGTTTAAAACAAGCTTAAAAATATTTTTTTTAAGCATGCATGTTACTAATATTGCCTTAGAGGTAAATATATTTAGATATGTGATTTTGAAAAAATAAAATAAAACTGTTTCATTGAAATGCTTCTTGGTTACAAGTCTCAAAAAAATATTTTCTCCTTAAGGCTAGATTGAAAACAGCTTTTTTACTGAAACTTCAAATGCCCATATATATGTACTATTTGGTAAAAGTCAGTGTGAAAACTTTAGATAGACTAGGAAAACCAAAGGTCATGAATATTAAATTTTTATGAATGTTGGAATAGAAATCAAAACCTGAACTTCACGAATAATAATACATGTAAACTGCATTGGAATAGTGAAGTAAATACTCGTAAAATCAATTCAAAACAATATACAAGGAGGACTTTTCTTTATTTTAGCAAACCCATGTAACTTGAACAATGGTGGTTGTATGCACACATGCATCCCTATTGGCACAAAACACCGGCGCTGTGAGTGTTTGGATGGCTACCGGTTAGTGGGCAACACTTCCTGTGAAGACGTGAATGAATGTGACCAGTGGCCCCCAGTGTGTTCACAAAAGTGTGTAAATGAGCCAAAGGGATCATACAAATGTGAATGTATGCTGGGATATTACCCAGAATTACTCTCCGATGGCCAACATATTTGCAAAGTTATTGGTAAGTGACATCATTTCATTGCAGGGGAATATATATATTATATATCAAGTTAAATAATGCAGTAGTTATAAATTAATTTGATGTTTTTATCTATTAATCTTTTTTTCTTCCTCAGGTGAGAGACCTTGGTTGTTGTTTGCCAATAGACATGACATCAGAAAACTGGAGGTAGACACCATGATACTACAACCTGTTGTCAGTGACCTTCATAGTGCTGTTGCTGTTGATTATGATTATTACAACAAAGTAGTCTACTGGTCTGATAATGTGGAAGAGAAAATTATGAAGTAAGCATAAAAAACACTTTACATAGTTTCAGTTGATGTCAGCTTGAAAGATTTAATTAATTTACTATAAACTTTGGAGTACATGTAAAATTTTGTATTTTCACTATCAGGGCAAACATGTCTGAAAAGGGGGAGACAAATGGAACAGGTGTACCTGTGATAAACCGGGGTGTCAAGACTCCTGATGGAATCGCTGTGGACTGGATCTATCATAACCTGTACTGGACTGACACCGGATACAATACCATTGAAGTCGCCTCTGTAGATGGATCCATTAGGAAGATTCTGGTAGATAAAGACTTGGATGAACCTAGATCAATCGCTCTGGATCCAGAAAATGGGTATGTATTTGTAATTTTGTGTGGTTCTTGAGAATTAAACTGAATGCAAAAATTTTTATTGTGCATTGAATGATTTAAACATGTTTGTAATCTTTATGAATAGGTGGATGTACTTCTCTGACTGGGGAAGAACTCCCAAGATTGAACGCATTGGAATGGATGGAAACCCTTCCAGCAGAAGTGTTATAGTGCAGAAAGAAATTGAATGGCCAAATGGTTTAACGCTGGATTATGCTAGTCAGAGATTATATTGGATTGATGCTAAACTGAAGAGTATATTTACCGCAAAGTTGGATGGTTCAGATATCCGAAGAGTCCTACACAATGCTGAACAAATCCTCCATCCATTCTCCTTGACTGTTTTTGAGGTAATTATAAAAGCATAATCTTTTTCCAAGGAATAGAAAGTAGATTTTATTTGTCATCTGTTGTTTCATTTGTTTCCTGTGACTGTTTTGTAGGACAGTGTATACTGGACAGATTGGTCATCTGAAGCCATCCGTAAAGTTCACAAATACACAGGACAAGAATACACACAACTTGCCCTTGGTTTGAGAGCTCCTATGGACATTAAAGTCTATCACCAACAAAAGCAAATGCACAGTGAGTATTTTTTGCCATGATAAAGCCTAATTCATCAAAAAAAAAAAAAGAACAAAAAATTTTTTATTTCTTCACATACCTCCTATTAAATTTTGCTTTCTATGTAGGTCCAAATAAATGTGGACATGAAAATGGTGGTTGTTCCCATCTGTGCCTACCAACCCCAGTCTCTCTGAATGCAAAGGGATATGCTTGTGCCTGTCCAGATAACATGGTTCTTTTGAGGGGAAAGCAATGTGAAGTCAGTGGTAAGTACAGCACCAATGTCTGTGTCAGTGTCAGTAATGCACAGTGCCATCTCACACACCACTGGGAAAGATGCAGATTCGGTGTTTATAAAAAAGTAGGAAAACTTGCTTTGTATGATCAATAATGTTACTATGAATCTGCATCCTTCTTTGGTATATGGTATTAACAGTACACTGACAGAAACTATATTAACCTCTATGTATGCTTGCATAAAAAAATGTATACATGTAAAATGTATGCTTGCTCAAGTATCAAGCTAGCTTATTTGCTTAATTACTGTAAATGTATTACATTTAGCGGTGTATTCTAATTAGCGATTTTGGCGGTAAGCAGAGACCGCCAAAGCATGTACATCGCTAAATGCCTTGTATATCATACAGGTATATCAAGTACATTCATATTGCGCTAAATCAAATCTACGCTAACTTGTTGAAAATTCAATTTCCGCCAAATATCGTACACGCCAAATATAATACATTTACAGTAAATCCCAGATTACCAGGGAAAAAGAAAAAAACAAATTTATTCTGTAAGGAAAAGGAAGGAGTTCACAGTATTAGTTGCTAAGGGGTTTTTATAATCCATGGAAAGATTTGCTTAGAGAATGCTTCTTTTTACAATGGGCCAAATGTTGCATGAAGCATCAGTGCACCTTAAGGAGAGAAACTTGGTGACTTTCAATTAGATTTCTTGATTCATCATGTTCTATGATGTTAAAACTTCATAGGCCAGTTTAATTCATGACAAATGTATTTGTATATGCCAAACAGTAGTAAATTTATAACCTAATATTTAGAGCTTGATTTAAGTATATCAGTAACAGTTTAACAAGCTATTGAATATTTATGCATGGACCATTTCCTATTCACAGCACAAAGAACAACTTCAAGTCCTTTACCAACTCCTCCATCTAAGACAGGCTCCCCTAATAATACAAACAGAAATTCTTCTAGTTCTCATGGTGAGATTTGTTCTAGAGATGGCTTATGTGCAATGAAGCAGGATTATAGATCAAAATAATAATTAGAATACTGAATAGTAAATACCCAATTCTGTGCTTTGTTTCTTTTGCTGTGCTTTTTAACAAATCCACTCCCTTCTTCTTCTCTAATTTGTATCTTATTTACCTCCTGATAATAGCCATTGCCACATTACTGCAAAATCTATGTGCATATTTGCAAAAGCTTAAAAGTAAATTGTTAAATGAGCTCCATTATCAGATATTTCTATTGGCTGCTATCTACCAAACTAAAGAAATACGAGTATTTCATGGAATGTTTTGTTTTTAGGAGTACCTTCAGCATCAACTACAGTTCGACCTGCTGTAACAACCAAGGCCACTGAAAAGCCTAAATCTACAACTTCTAAACCTGTAGTAACATCCAAAGGCCCAGGATACAAACCCATCAGCACCAAAACTCCATATGTGATTGTGACCCCAAAGAAAAACAATGAAACAGTTGTTGAAAAATCCACCGAGAGTCCAGTAGGAACCGTGGCTGTTATAGCTATTGCAGTGGTTCTTGGAATTGCTGTTTTGGTTGTCATTGTAAGTATATGTTTATTGTATAACAGGATTTCCTTTGAAATTTTCATCGGTAGATAAGCAAGCTATTATTAAATATGGTTTACTTGTGTTTGCAGATTGGTTGTTTCATTTACCGCAAGTACACAAAGAGGAACATCAAAAGTATGAATTTTGACAATCCCGTATATAGGAAAACAACAGAGGAAAGTGTGCGTATACAGAGAGACTCTGCATTAGAGCCTTTAAATGCTGATACCATGGAAGTCTGATGCTCAGGAAATAACTAGTGACATTCCATTTTAGTTCATAACTTTATCCAGTGCATTATGTCAGGAAGGACATTATTGATTTTAAAAAATATCAATGCTTAGAACAAGAACAGCTTTTAGCTAGGCATAACCAAGGAGTTGTATCACAGCCATTTTAAAGTGAGGAGTATACATTCCAGTAAGATCTCCTGTCCACTGATACAACTAGACTGAGCTGGCCAGGTCTCTACCACTGCCAAGTGTGGAAACAGCTGATACACCGGAGGGACTGATTCTCACAGACCTCCTCCCTCCCCCCTCTTTCATTTCCCCCCTCCACCATAAAGAATACTCTAGTAACTTGACATTGATCTGAATTTATTTAATCTCGGTGCTCTTGTGAAATATTTACTATCTGAGATTTACGTTCATCTCCAAAATATATATTCAGGACACTTTATTTTGCATCCTAGCAGCTTTGAAAAATGTATGTTTCTCCAATTTTTCACAAGAACAAAGATTCTGCATTTATACTGAATTTAAAATTCTTTAGATTTTTTTTTATTTATTTAAGTATTTAGTGTTTGAATGTAGGAATGTTTGCCATGTCAGATTAAAGTAAGGTAAGAATGTAGTGAAAGACTTGCAAGAAATGTAAACTGAGAAAGATTTGTTAATGCTTGTTTTATTTGTTATTTATTTTGTTATATATGTTACATATTGTGCTTATAAATGGGAGAATTTAGTTAGATTTTTGTGCAAGGTAGAAACTGCATGTTGTGGAAGGTAACTTTATATAGAAGAAAGTAGAAAGGGATTGTTAGAAGAAAATTCACCCACCAACAATCCAGATTCCTCAAAGGGACTGGTTTCATGTGTGAATGGAGCACTAGATATCATTTTATCACTACTCATTGTATGGAACTAAGAAGGAGATGCAAGATTCATGTATATTTATTGAAGTTAGTGTCATGAGTGTCCTGGGAAGTTTTAAAAATAAGCTGGAATATTTATAAAAAGTATGGATATTGTCTGAAGAATTCTAGATTACTTTTGTAATATGATGTATGTTGAATTCAAAATAGAATATTTCATTTGATATTTACGTATTTAGCATAATATGTTACAGGTGTTCTAACATTTTATGTCATGAAGTGTCATCTAGTCCCATTTCTGAAAAAAGACAACCCAGGGCACAATTGTTTGTGTAATATAGTGTATTGTGATATATAACAGTGCTAAATAATGGAGAGTGCTCAATAGCTAGGACTCACCTAGTGATAATGCGCGTACCTGTTTTGTATAGTTGTATAAAGTGTAAATATGAATATGTTGAGCTTTATCCACAGTCTTCACGTTGCTAAGATTTATAGCAGTTCTATTCAAGCAAACATATCCATACCTGTAGTCAACAAGATTTTTTTTTTTAATTTATGGAAAATATAAAAAGAACGTCTGGTTTCTAGACTCAATTAGTATCTAACATCTATATCCAGTTCTGAAATTATTCAGGTGTATCTCTTTAGAATTTTTCCATGCTTCAGCAAGTACAACACTTATTTCATATGTTGTCAATTCTAGATACACCTTTTTTTTTCCTTTGGCAAATAAACCTTGTGTGGTCCTGTTTACATGGTACTTTCTATTTTTTTTTTTTATACAAACAATTTAGCTATATTTGGCTTTCATTTTTTCATATATTTATTTTAGATTTTCTGAAATTTCAGAGAATTTGAATTTAGTTTCTGTTTCTACTTCTGAAAATTCATATTCCCATGTCTGTCTCCATTCCATTCCAATAGTTTTAAGTTGTATAGTATTTACTGAGACTATGTTGACTAGTAGGTAAATCATGTTTAAAATGTCAATTTTGATATATGTGCCAAAAAATAGGTTAATTTGTGTGCATGTACAGTGTTGTTTGTCGGTCAATCTTGCTTAATCGTTCTAGGGATGAATGATTCATGTTGTTCAAATTTTTTTTGTCAGACAGGCACAAAGTGCTTTTTTGAAATAAAATGTTATAAAACTGAAATTTGAGTACTTCTTTAATGGAACTTTGCGCAATGTGTGTGTATATTTTAAAACCAGTGTTACACGTCAAGTCTTGTCATGCTGAGTGTATGGAATTTAAATTATCTGTGACGTAGATCGTATGATTTCAGTAGTAACGTGAATATGGTGCGAGTCTCTAGATCACCTCATTAGCATAAGACCGACTGGATTATGAATGAAAAATCTATAGTGGGAACGCCCCCTAAATACATAGCCCAGTGTAGTCAAAACAAAACGTGTTTTATTTTGTGTGGATAACTATTCTGTTGAAAATTCTTTTCAAAATAGGGTTGTTACCAGATAATGCAGAGAAAAGTGCACATTGCATTAAATTTGTACTGATAGAACTGTTCTAATAAAACTTCCCATTCTTATTCGACATAATTGTGGCCAAGTTTTACAATTTCATTCTTCCTAAAATGTGTAGCCAAAAATAAGATAACTTTTGAGGAAGCAAATGCACGTAAAAGAGATGTACGGAAACTCGTCATTTTTTTAGTTTTGCTAAACTTAAAAGAAATCCTCACCCCCTCCTGGTTTTTTTTTGGGGGGGGGGGGTGTCAGTTCATGTATATACAAGTTTATTATTTATTAGATACCTTGACGTCTATTGTTAAAAAAACACAACTGAAAATACATCATTTTCTACGCCATGTTAATCATTAATTGCTTATAAACTGGGTAAAAAATAATGAATTTTTTCTTTGGTAGGTCTGATAAGTAAATCAACATTGTATATCAGTCACTGCATTAGCAATCAATGTCCAGTCTCCTGTCCTGATGGCGAGTCTGACTAACGGAATTAAGATGGTGTGAATCACCTACGTAAGGCGGAACCAGGAAGAGGATTTCATACGTAATACAAAATGTTCCAGGAAACTGATTGTACAATGTACATACATGTAAATACTTTATTTGTACATATCCAACATAATTCATGTTTTCTACACTAAATACGTCCCCCCCCCCCAATAAATAAATAGCACGACGTAACGAACATTCAAATCATTCGTGTTCAAGACAATTTCAGAAGGCTATAATTCATATAATGTAAAAAGGAGTACATAATGAGTTTATTAAGTTCAATTCAGAGCAAGATCGAAAGCAAACTTGGAAAAAACCTTAAACAGACCAAAAAGTGTGGTTGGGGGCTGCGTTCTATATTATCAGAATGGGGTACCAGATATACATCTCCTCAAAAAAAAAAATTGTGGGCAGTGCAGAAGTAGAGAACAGAAACACCCCTACGTACACGCGTTAAGCAGCTGTCATGTTGTAAATTTTGAATTTACCAGGTGGCAGTAAATACAAAATTTACAACATGTTGTCATGTTGTAAATTTTGTATTTAATGCCACCCAGTAAATTCAAAATTTACAACATGACACAGCTCTGAAAAAAATTATCATACATTTAAGGGGACGACCATTTGATTCTGAGGGGGGGGGGGGGGGGGGGGGGGCGGGCAGATTTTGGAAATAAATAATCTGTCCCTGAAAATGTTGAAAATAAATAATCCGTCCTCCTCTGCAAAGAAAATAAATAATCTGACATTGACTTATGATATTTAAATATTGTGAAAATACCTTTTAATTTCTGTGTAATTTAACCTCAGAATCTTCAATTCAGCATTTTTTTTGGCTCGCTTCGCTCGCCATTTTAGAACCAAATAATATTTAAAATCAGATTACCAGACTGGATACTTGTAGTCAGTTGATCAACATGACAATGTGCACTCAGTAGATGTGATGAATCACTTTAAATACAAGGAAATTCTTAAACACCACAAAAAATAAATTTTCTTGTCAAAGAATTATACTTCCCGATAAATTAATTACAAAGTAAACAGTGGCGGATTTAAGGAAGGCATACATGTGTATGACCCCTCCCCTAAAATTTCAAAGTATGATATGAATTATATTAATATTGCCATACTTTAGTACAATACCAATATTTTTGTGCCTAGTTTTACTCTTAAAATACACAAAAACCCAAGAGCTTCAGGGGGCTTCGCCCCCTGGGGCCCCTTCATCCAAAGCATGATATGACTAGTATTAATTATGTCATACTTTAGAACATAACTAACCAGTTCCTAGATAATTGTGCCTGGTTTTACTCTTAAAATACACAAAAACCCACGAGCTTCAGGGGGCTTCGCTCCCTGGACCCCCTTCATTCAAAGTATGTTATGACCAATATTAATAATGTCATACTTTGCTACATAATAACCAATACCACTATAATTGTCCTGGTTTTACTCTTAAAATACCCGAATACCCAAGAGCTTCTGGGGAATTTCCCTCCCTTGGCCTCCACAAGTGCTTCGCCCAGGACCCACTGGGGTCTTAAGGCGGCCCCAGACCTCTTGCCTGAACAAAGTTATACACGCCCCCCATCCTGAATCCGCCTATGGTATATAAATGATTAGTCTTTTAGAATCAATGGATCAAGGTACCGTAAGACAAAGAAGAAAATAAAAAAAAAAAAATTTGTCTTCGATAATCTTGAAAATAAATAATCTGTCCTTGACAGGCATGAAAATAAATAATCCGTCACCAAAAAAATTGCCAGACCCCCCCCCCACCCCCTTAGAATCAAATGGTCGTCCCCTAAGAAAAAATATATTAGACCTTAAAGGTACTTGGACACAGATCTGAAGTTAATGTTTTATCTATATTTTAATAGCATTTCACACAAAAGTTAATTTAAAAAAATCTTCTTCCATTTTAAAGTTATGATTGAAGAGTACAGCATATGACATTCCTATTTTTGTCCTCCGCTTTCACTGAAAGTGGGGGATATTAATTTGGGTCTGTCTGTCCGTCTTTCTGTCTGTCTGTAACGCTTTCGTTTCCGCGCGATATCTCAAGAACCCTTTGAACTTTCACATGAAATTTTGCATAGCAACTCCCTATGACCTACAGAAGAGTTCTATGGATTTTGGTGTCAAAAGGTCGAAGATCAAGATCATAATTCAATAAATTCTTTCTGTTTTAACACTTTCGTTTTCGGGCGATATCTCCCTTGGCCTGAGAAAGACTTCTATTGATTTTGAGGTCAAAATGTCAAATTTCAAGGTCGTAAATTTATACATTCCGTCTTTGTGTCACACTTTTGTTTCCGAGGGATATTTCAAGAAGATTTTGAGCTTTTGCAATGAAATTTTATACCAAAACTCCCTAGGGCCTCTCTCGCCCCTCTCAAAGTGTTCCGCCCCGTTTGTTTTATTAGTATTTTTTCTATTAAAGGTACTTGGACACACATTTGAAGTTAATATTTTCTGTATAATATCACGAATTATATATTTTAAAGTGGCAATCCTATTGTAGATTAATGAGAAATATTAAAACTTTAACCCAGAAAAATAATTTTATTTAGAGAAGAAATGTTAGAAAGCACAACTCCTTCAAAAGCATCGTCATTCCGAGCTAAGTATTGTGTACAGAGTTTAGCAAATCGAGCACACTCGTGTTATGTACACAGTTTTTTGTAAACAGGACACGAGCTCTGTTATTAATGATGTTTACGATTCACCGGGTGCGTTCAATCGTCAAAGTCTGCTCACCACAACTGCACGGACTGACAATATATTGTGTGTTTGTTTTGCTTTCGAACATGTCTACTCTGAATTTTCTGGATTATAGTATTAATATTTTTTCATTTATACACAACAAGATTGCCACTCTTCCTAAGTATTAAGAATAAAATTAAAATTTGTGAAAGTGCAAGGATGTGTCAATCAAACCCGCCAAAAAATTTGAAGTTTTAATAACTTTTAAATGAAATAAGATTTCTAATTTTTCTGTGAAATGTATTAAAATATATAAGTCGTAATTAACTTCAAATCTGTGTCCAAGTACCTTTAATTCTGATGTCTTCTTTTGAATATGTCCTACTGAGTTGGAGATTCTGAACAACGACTGATTTTAATCCGCTCTCGTTTTGTAGGAGTAGGGGAGGTTTTAAAACCCTTTTTAGACAATGATCGAGAGACACATGCAGCTAAAAGCTGTTTCAAAAATAGTTTAACGGAAGATAATGTCTAATATCGACTTACATGTTATAAAAATCGTGATTCAAAATTGTTGATGTAACATTGCTATCCAGATGTCCGTTTTATTCCTTATATCGTCACTATTTATAAATAAGAATAGAAAAGGCTTTTGTTTCCTGTAGTGACTTTTATGCATGTCTTACGTAGTCTGTTTTTCTTTAGACTTGAGAATAAGATATTAACTTTGCCCATAACTTTTGATTCGTTGAAGCTATGATTTTCATATGTGTAATCCTTGTGACAAGATCTTTCCTTAGGACGACATATTTGACCTTGAGCTTGTAGTATGCAAAATTGAACCAAATTTAAACTTTGCCATCATTTTCGAACAATGGGTGGTAAGGCTTTTAAACTTAAAATTTAATTTTTACAGCATATTCCTTGTAATGGACTTTTACGAGAAGCACTGACTTTTACAGTTGATTGTTTACTTGGACATTTAAACCTGTGTCATCTACGGAGGTACAGAATTGATAATGGATAAGAAAACCTTTCTAGTGGTCATAGTAATGGTATTAGGGGCACTTATATGTCAAGACTTGGATTTGAGGGTAGGATGATTGTCGTTTTCTTCAATGGCAACTTATCTGTGCTTTAAAATAGCCCGTTGTTTTCGTTGAATTAAAGGTTGAGCTGAATAGTTATATCTTAAAAGAGCGTCCATACACTTTCCTAGTGTGAGAATAATTCGTCAACTGTAAATGTCAGCGCTTCTCGTAAAAGTCCAAAAAGATCTTCTCTTGTGCACCATCAATTTTGACCCATTGACCTTGACCTTAGAATTTGTCCCACTCTTGGAAAAACGTTAACATTGGTTATTAATACTCATAACTTTTGAAAGATTGGTGCTAGAGCTTTCATATTTTACAATTTTATTTCTTGTGACAAGAACTTCCCTGAGGTATCGAAAATTTTGACTCCTTGACC